AATTGGAAGGAAATGCATTGCATGATGGATTTAACTGATTTAAGTTGATTATATAGCGAGCTGGCAAACACTGTGAGTGTAAAAAATATGTAGTAATTAATGAAAAAAAATTAAACACATCATAATCATTTATATATAATGAATTAGTACAATATTTTACACTTTATACAATGCATGGTAAGATACATGGTCAAAAGAATTCAAAACAATTTGTTTCTTGCAAAAAAAATTCAAAACAAAACCATGTATATATATAAATATTTTAGCATATTTCACAAAAACATAAGTGATATGGTGGTTAAGGTGTTGAAGGAGTAAAATGGGTGGGGTTTGAATCCCCTTGGTGTCTTTTTTAATATAGAAATTTATCATATATAATAAATATTAGCTTACAGACATTTTAAAGACGTTTTAAATATTACACGCCGAAAATATAATCACAAACATGTACGCAACTGAGTTGGATAAGGCACTGGGTTGTTTCTCACAGAGGCAAGGGTTTGAATCCCTCCATGCGCAACAAAACTAGAATACACCATATTATTATTAATATTAACCAATCTGCAAAGATTGCTTGACGAAAAATGTGAAGAAAATTAACACAAAAACCAGACTAGCTAAGTTACTAAGTATAATAATAAAAAAAAAAGGAAAAAGTACAGTAAACCCCCCAATCTATTGGGCCATTTACGAGTACATCCCAACCTATCGGATATTTTCAATTACATACACAACGACGTCACGAAAAATTACAAGAGTTCCCCCTCCGTCAGTCAGACTGTTAGTCAGTCTGTTAAATACTAACGTGTCAAAAGTGGGATCCATTTTTTTATGATGTGGACTTCCACGTGGACCAAAAATTAATAAAAAATTATTTTCCTGTTTAAATTATTTATTGTTGTTAAATTAATTCAAATTTTAAAATTAAAAAAAAAAATTGGTAGCAAATCATGTTATTTCTATATTTGAGCTTCAAACCTTCTATCAATTTAGTTTGCTCTTTTCCAAGAAGAACTCCATACAGGTCTTAAAATTATATTTATATCTTTAATCTCCCATAAACAATTTAAAAGAAAAAAAAAATATTTCCACACCTGGGTTCCAATGGAACCAGTAGATCCAACAATCGAAATAGGCTTTGGGCCATCCCAAGTTCTGCGGCTTGTCTCCGGAACGGCACGTCCCGGCCAAGCTGGAGGAGGTGTCTGTGCTGCTGCTGAGCATTGAATTCTCCCAACTACTGTTTTGCAATCTTTCCTCCTCAAAGCAAACCCACCTACGTTTAAGAACAAAATTTTATTAAGATTACCAAGACTGTAAATTTACATAACCATAAAATTATATCAACAAGTCTACCATTAAAATTCAGAGCTGCATACAAGTAAAATTTAAGACAAAAGCACATATAGGCACTTCATGTTTTTAATGAACTTTCAGCTATACAATAAAGCACATGGACCTCATCATTTTACAAACACAGAAACCATAGAATCATGGTGACCAAATTGAACCGTAATGTCAGCATGCACTTTGGAAAGCTAAAAAAAAATGTCTCCATTTTGTCAGTTTTCCTGCGTTATCTCAGGAACCAAACAGAAAATTGAAAGCAAGAGAAGACAGTAACTGGAACCTGGAAGCTTGGGGAGGTGGGTGTACTTGGTGGAATCCAAGAAAGAGATGGCTTTGATTTCAGCTGGAGACAATAAATTAAGAGCCATCCCAACTCAGCTTTTTTATTCAAATCAACAAAAAGCAATAAACTTTGAGAGAGAAGAAGATAAATTTCAAACAAATGAACAAAACCACGAGAACCCTTTGAGCCAATTTTTCTGTGGTCGTGAAAATTGCATACCTTTATAGTAAAATAATGATGGGTTTCTGGTAATAGTTAATTGGGTTTCTTCTTTCCTTTTAAATTATTTTGTTTTAAACATTTTTAGTATAAATAATCAAACATGGGAAGTGAGGTGTGGACTGAGATAATAAGGACGAAACTGTAGGATAGGACGAGAAGCCGAGAACGGAATCAACTTCTTCTGGTGGACTGTTATGTAATCTACCTTTTTCGTGGGAAAATTTGATGCTTTTAGGTCAGATTTACTTCCATCAAAGGCTCATACGACACCGTTTCAATGCTCAGCATTTTATATGAAATAGGACAGGGACTTGGGAGAGTATGCTGTTTATACCATTTGATGATATTCCCTCATAATCCATCCAAAAATTTCCTTTCAAAGAATAATTGATGCCTTGTATTTGCATGAATTGTATTGTCCCTAAAAAAGAAAGCTTATAAAATGTTTCTGTTTTTGGGTTTGCCATTGTGGTAAGCTTGGAATTATATGGCATTGTTGTTGGGCGTTTCTGATTTCAGAATTATTATAAATACAAACAATTTTGGTAATTTTATTTTCGGTGTACCAATGATTGTACAAGTGCAAAGTATATGAATTAGCATATAAAATATTTTCAAGCACTTGCCCTACTTTCATCTATTTCTGATTTTGTCACTCTATCCACACATGATGATCCTCTGTTTGCTCAAAGGAAGATATACCATAACATTATTGGTTCTGGGGTCAAACAAATCATGTGCAAAACTTGGAAGATTTTAACAATTTATGCCGCCGGTTGAAAAAACAAAATTATGATTTTTGGATTGAGAGGGATGGAATATAGATTTGAAGTAGGAGAAAAGTTTGCATGTCGTGGATATCATTATTTTACTATTTCTAATTAATTACGTTTAACCACAAGTGATAAGAATTCCACATGACGAAACATAATTGAATGATTAGGTGTGGATAACAAAACAGTCCCCGTGACAAGCAAGTTCTCATCTTTGAAGTAGGGCCAGTCCAAAGGGGTGCGCAGATGCTGATTTGACCCCAATTATTTTTTTTTTTTTTTCATTTTCTGCTTAGTTTGACTTAAGGTATCTAGTGCATTGAGGTTCAAGTAGATCCTTCGTCACCAGAAGTTAAACGTGTCAGAAAGTGCTTCCTGAATCCTACCAATTGAAGACCCACCCTTATATTTTTTTTTTATAATAATCATTTTATTTGTTTTAATGACAAACATGGTTATAAATATTCAGCTTAAAGACAAAGATGATTATAAATATTCAGATTGGGGAGAAAAGGGAGGCTTCAATTGAGATAGAAGATCCTAATAGCAACTACCAATGCAAATTACATAAGACGACTGATTAAGCGTTTGTCATTGTTGCAATGTGGATAGGGTTTATTTTATTTTATTTATATATAATATTGAGAGAGGAGGAATTTGAACAAAGAGTCTCGGATACAAAGATATTTACTATAACCACAAAGAGTCTCGGATACAGAGATATTTACTATAACCACAGATACAAAGATATTTACTATAACCACTTGAGCTACAATCTTATTGTTTGTGTGGATAGGGTTTGAATAAAGGTTACCAAATTTCATATAGTGCTATTTCATGCGCACACGACTGAAATTTGTGCCAAACCAATTTGTTGTTTGAATGGCACAGAAAGTTTAAACCACAGCTATTTTTTATGAAAAGCTAGTCCCACCCAAAAAGCATGAAGAGAAAAATCAATAAACATATTTATCAGAAACAGTAACGCCACTAAAGCCTGAAATAGACTCTTTGAAAAGGCGCACATGTACGCTTCTCGTGCAAGAGGGAGGAGTGTCAGCCAAAATGTCCAACTCTACAAAATCCACTTCAACTTGAACAACTTATTATTTTATATACGAGGAAACGTCTTGCTTTGATTTGATCTCACCCATCCTTGTATAACAGGCGTACATAAACGGGTAGCACCTTAAAACAAGCTTTTAAATGCAATGAACTCCAGATTTCTCACAAGCTGTCTTCCTCTTGTATTTCAGGAGATCCCAACGGTGAGCTTCCGTTACTTAGCTCCAATGCACCTCCAGATTCAGATATTTTTGTTATCCTCTGCAATTCATCACTTACATCTGATGGATGTGCAATAGGGAGATCGTTACCCAGCTGTTCTTTCTGCACTGGTGGTTTTGGCCGTCGAATAGCTTCAGCTGCCGCTGCCATTGCAACTGGGGGTGGCTGGGGAGGAACCCATGTACGCTGAACTGGCTGAACTGGAAGCTCACTAGTTCGTGCACCAAAAGACCCTGCATTGACTTCATTTTCTATCTCAGTGATTCTAGCATTTTTCCGCTGCCACCAAGGCACTGTACCATCACTGTTTGACTGATAATCGAGCCCATTGTCCTGAATGCTGGAATTCAAGCCTTCACTGCTTACTTGAGACTGAAATACTTGGCTCGAGTTGTTTTGGGCCTGACCGACCTCCCAAGGCTACCCAAGAAAACAAAAAGTAACAATCATCTCCATTTGATATCAAAGCAAGAAAATTGAATTTTTTAACTTGGTCAAAATTTTCATTGAAGTTCATGAATTTTCAAAAATATATTTCCATAATTTCATAAAGCATACAACTAATTCTTGTAAATTCGAAGATAATTTTTTAAAAACAAGCCACTTTTCGTTTGTCCAAAATACAAATTGTGAAAGACATGCAGCAATCTATAATCTAATTCTTTTTTAAATGATCCAACCATGTGTACTAATCTGGAGTGAATCAAATAAGGAAAAGAGGGGGCGGGGGTGGTGGTGTGTGTTTATATGAATAGGTGAAAAGCTCTCAAAAGCAATACCTTAGCTCTAGGTGCCAAGCGAGGATTTGATAGTTGCTGATTAGGGTTGGGGGGTAAATCATCAATGTCCTGCGTATGCATCCAGAATGACAAAGGGTTAACATTTAAGTGATGAAAAAATAAAGAAGAAAAAAGCTGACTTCAATTGGAAAATCTACAAAGAGTTTACTTTGACATTAGGAGGTTTCTCCCCTCTTTGAACCATGGCCATGATCTGCAATATTATGATAAAAATTAAATCGGCAGGCATAAAATTAACAATGCACATGAGTGTTAAATTTCCGAAGCCTTAAACCTGACCACACATCACAACAATGAAAGAGTTAAAACTATTGCATGGATAATCCGCAAACTGAAATTGCAGTTCAAATGAAAAGCAATTATAAGGAACATATTATAATACTCCAGTTCACCAACTGGTTAGATATATTCAAACTACATAAAAGATTATTTTCAACCTTGTCAGCTTATAATCTGTTAGACCTCCTGAATCTTTTATGATTCATCCATTCTAACCTTAGATATCTCTTAATAACAAATTGGTCCAACTGGAAGTATAGAGCACATTATATAAGAACTCTTCAAGCTCTAAGTACAATGTAAAAAAAAAATGGTGAATGAAATGAATTTTACATACAACTAAAATGATGACATGCCCTGAGAAATCCCTATAAATTAGTTCTTTGCATCCACTGACTGACTGCCACTGGATGACAGTCTATACTCGAGAGTTGAGAGCTAACAGAGTATTTTGTACCAAAATATTTAATTTGCACATAAAAAAAGGACTACATTCCTTGAACCATTAGATTGGTTTAATATGATCAAAGAGAAGCTCTCAATGATAGACCCATGTACTAAACAGTACTTAAGAAAAGACCATAAAAATGACTTACATCCATATAAGACTTTGGGTGAGGTGCAGCAGATGGTTCCACAGATGCAGGAGCTGAGGAAGATTGCACTGTACAGAAAATTGTAATAACACAAATCAGAAATCAATAAACATTTGAAAGATTAGACAATAGAAAGTTGGCAATTAGAGAATAATAACCTGATCGCACGTCATACTCTGCCTTGCCATTCGCATATTGTTGCTGTAAAACACATCAATAGTAAAAAAGCTATCTTTTGAATAAATGCAGATATGATATTATCTACACCTTTTAAATATCAATGAGAATTCCAAATTTATGGCTATCTTCGGCTGACCTTTGAATTTGAGGTATTGTAGCGATTATCCTCATCATCAACAAGAGAGGTTCTTGAGGCCTTTGTTTCTCCTGATTATTAGGCAGAAAGATAGAATATCAATAAAAATAATCATTGGAGACCAGTTACAAACAAAAACCAGTCTTTTTCCTGATTGCAAACAAATGATGATGTAACTGTATTTTAGGCAGAACAATCAATCACAAGCACTAGCTTGATCACGTATAATATTTCCAGTACCTTCCAATTTCCGAATGGAATTATTCATTGACTTCATTTCTTGCACTTGAACATCTAACAAACTCATGAGTTCCACAAAGTATCTCCTCTCTGGCCCAAGTATAAACAATGGTTCGAAATCATGAACACAGTAATACGTATCAGTATAAGTAAAAAAGAAGACAATAATAAGATCACTAAATAAAGTGAATGACAACAGAAATAGGCTAACACAGTAGCTATAAAGTACCATAGCCCCACCTTCGGTCTTAGAGTTCAGCATCTCCTGGCTTGCTTTTGCCACATCTGCTGCTGCAGCTGCAGCAGCTTTAGCAGCTGCCGCAGCTTCTTCTGCCAAACTTGGTTTCAGGTCGGTTTTCTTCTCAATGTCATTTTCATCTTCCAATACAACCTTGCGTACCCAAGCCTTCAACCTAGGGATAATAGATTTCTAAAACAGGGAACATGTTATCAGAAGCAACCAAGCTATAACTATTGAGTGATCAAAGTCTAACGGGTGCAATTACTCAGACACCATGTGAAACTGGGAAAAGAAGCATATAAAAGCAATATAACTCAGAAAGCTAGCATCAGAACATGAGGATAACAATTAATATGTCTTCATTGTAGAAAAGTTGAGTATTTTACCTTAAGTAATATAGCTGTTCCAGCACCAGAAACTGCCAGTACTCCTACAGCAAAAATGGCTTGAGACCAGTGGAATCTATACCCAGTTAAGGTACGCACAGAGGAAATGGCGTTAGTTGGAGCAGCAGCTGCAGGCTGCAGAGTTTGAGTGGTACTTTGTGCCTGAACATTTGACGATGTCTTTACTTGTCCATCTGACATAAGAAAGCACATACAACTATCACTTATACAAACAATGGACAAACTCTAAGCCAAAATCCCACTTTAATACCAG